AGGAGCACCTTAAAGACAAACCAAAATATGTGGCGGGGCTGGAGCTTTCCTGAGTCACGGCTCACTTCTTCAGATATCATGGAAGCTCGTCCCCTGCCCACATAGTATCTTACCTGCCCCTGCCCCTTAATTTAAAGATCTGATTTCCTTTTCTCAAGAGCCAAATTTGGTTCTGTAGCAGCCGAATAGCCCAGACGAGTTCAGTCTCAGAAGCTCAGTAGGGCCAGCCCTGGTGCGTACTTGGATGGGAGACCCCCAAGGAAGTCCAGGGCCACTGTGCAGAGGCGGGCAATGGCAAACAGCCTCTGTCCCTCTCTTGCCTTGAGAACCCCATGAGGGGTCATCATAAGTGGGCTGCAGCTTTATGCCACTTAATTATTATTTTTTGGTTCTGTACCGAGCCATGCGGTGTAGGCTCCTGTGCCGGAGTATTGCATCTTCTGGAGAACAACAAATCTCTGTTTTTAGAAGCATGGTTACTAGTAATAGCCATATTTCTCTCACAGGTGCCAGGGCTGTTGGAGGAGACACCCACCGAACTGAACCCACTCAACAGCCTGAAGACGGAGCGCTATGTGGGGGCCCAGCAAGAAGGTGATGGAGGGACCAGCTTACTGGGTATGGGGTTGGTGTGCCTGCATTGCTAGGTGGTAGATAGCACCTAGACCTCTTTGGTGCTCTTGGCCACTTCCAAGGGAGTGTGATTCAGCAGTTGTTGTGTGCAAAAGTCTGGGGGTGAGGTTATACTCTGTCTGCCTTGCCTACCTTACAAGATTGTTGTGAGGGTGAAGTGGAGAAGGGAGAACCATGTACACTGCTGTGTGTGCAGAAGTCTGGGGGTGAGGTTATACCCTGTCTGCCTTGCCTACCTCACAAGATTGTTGTGAGGGTGAAGTGGAGAAGGGAGAACTATGTACACTGCTGTGTGTTTCTTTGAGGAGGGATGGGACAAAAATGGGGCAGATTATTATTCTAGGGCCAAAAGGGAGTCTGTTTCAGTTTAAGGAACTATTAGGATGAAAAATAAAATGCACAATAAAATACAAGTATCATAGTTTCCTGATGGAAATCTGGGCTGCTCAGCTTAAGACTATAGGTGATACGAAGCCAACCACTAGGTGATAAGAAACACCCTGACCTGAGGCCACAGAGAACCAGAACTGTGGTATAGCTTCTGCTAGGTTCCCCAGGTCCAATCCCCAGCATCTCCAGCTAAAAGGATCTGGAGATAGGTAACGTGAAAGATCTCAACCTGAGACCCTGGAGAGCTGCTGCCAGCCAGAGTAGACAACACTGACCTGCAGAGACCATATGTTTATTGCAGGGGTCATTTCCTGCAGGAGCGCACAGGAGCGGAGCTCCAGCAGTAAAGAGCCCAGGGGGCGGGCACATGCAACAAGCCCCACCCCCTGCTCCCAGCAGCTCCGGGCCACGAGGAGCACAAGGATCTGTGCATCCGTCCCCACCATAGCTAGCAATCCAAAAGAGTCCAGTGGAGCCTGAGCAGTGGGTGTTGCCTTCTGACACACTTCCGGTGATACCAGGGGGTATGGCATATGCAAATAAGTTATGCTAATGAGTTATGCTAATAAGCTCCTGCACCTCTTTTTCTACTAAATGACCCCTGGTTTATTGTGGTATAAGACCAAGTGTTCACCCACTTCTGGCCTTTTACTGTTTGAGGTATCTGCCATTCTGGCTGTGATTAATTAAAGGAGGGGGGGGAGAAGCATTTCTAGTTCCTCAGAAGAAATGATTGCCTTTAAATATCGAAAAGCGATTGTTGGGTGTGCTTTTAAATCTCATGTCAGGTCACTTACTTCACATGTTCCAACACTGGTTTTTAATCTTCAGAGAATTTAAAAAAAAATACATCAGATGTGCTTTTAAATTACCACAAGCTCAAAGCTATATTGCCTCTCAATCATATGTAGACGTACTTAAATGTCTCAGATACAAAGATAGAAGTGATACCTGATTTTATAAAAACTCTTCACCTGGCACTTGTACATAATGTAAACATATGTATATTAGGCTAACCAGAAAGGTTGAGCAGCTAAAACATGAAATAAAATACAAATATTTATTGCAGTGCACAAAAACATCAAATTAAAGACCACATACATAGAATACAAATAAAAGCTCAGAACGTAGTATACAGCAACAAATTTGGATTGCATGTGCAGTAACTGCAGAATATCAATAATGGTTACACTAATATAATAACCACAGAGCCAAAAGCGTTTCGGCCCAGAGGGCCTTCTTCAGTGGTATAAATTGTACTGACACAAAAATGTAAATATGCAATATATCTCTTTTGGGCCAAGCAGGTTATGTATGAGTCCTAAAAATAATAAAAATTGTAGGATACTTACACGAGAAAGATGTTTTTTCAACAAATGTACATTAGGAACGGTTGCTATTTACACTGAAAAAGTGTAGCTCCAAAAGTTAGCTATAGCTCAGGCCTGCATATCCTGAGGAGCCCACACTCATCAAAGATGGTAACTATGAACCACCATTCTGTGAAGGAGATAAAATAACATCAATGTGCAACTGAGTTGTGATATTATTTGTGTAACATTGAGAATGCCACCACTAGGGGTCAGAAGTAATCCTTAAAAACTTTTTTTAGAGTCATTCTCATATACAGACCTGACCATGGCTGTTGCTGTTTCCAGTGTGTGTTCGTGTGCAAACCAGGAAAAAAAAGGATTCTAAGAGAGGTCTTAGGAGGTCTGATATAGAAGCTGGAGTGCCTGTCCCGCAGGTGTCTGTGCAGCCTAGCTTCCAATGCAGGCCTGAGCTGTAACTGTCTTTCGGAGCGACACTTTTCCAGCATAAGTAGCAACCATTCCTAATGTAGATTTTTTTGCGGGGAAAAACCATCTTTCTTATGCAAAGTCAACTATCCTACAGTTTAACAATATCCTCACGTTTTTATTCTTTTTGTAGGACTCATACATAACCTGCTTGCCCCGAGAGAGTTATATTGTATATTTACATTTTTAGGTGTGTGTTAGCCCAGTTTAGACCACCAAAGGAGGCCCTCTGGGCTGAACAGCATTTGGTTCTGTGGTTATTTTACTTATGCATATATTCGTTGGATTTATACCCCTGCCCTCCCCGCCAAGGCAGATTTTATTTATTTATTTATTTATTTATGGGCTCTTTTTGTAGCAGGTACTCATTTGCATATTAAGCGACACACCCCTAATGTAGCCAATCCTCCAAGAGCTTACAGTAGCTCCTGTAAGAAGAGCTCTGTAAGCTCTTGGAGGATTGGCTACATTAGGGGTGTGTGGCCTAATATGCAAAGGAGTTCCTGCTTCAAATTTGTACCCCGCCCTCCCTGCAATGCAGGCTCGGGGCGGCTCACAATCAATACATAATACATAAATTCAGTTTAAAAATGACTTAAAATCATATAAAAACAATTCCATTGTTATTACGGTTACATAAAGTGCTGCAATTGATTATTCAAGACGGCTTAACTCGAGGTACTCTCTGAATGTCGTCCTGCTCTGGATCTCCCTGAGGCACAGGATAGGTGGTAAGATCCAAGATGCATGGTCCATCAAGGCCGGTATCGTCGACTCAGAATGGCAGCCACTCTTCAGTGCCTCAGGTGGGGGTCTTTTGCACTGACTCCAACCTAAGCCTTTTTAACTGGAGACACCGTGGATTGAACCCAGGACCTTCTGCACGCCAAGCAGATGCTCTACCACTGAGCCATGATGGCGGTGGAAACCACATAAGATCTAAAGTGCTATACATAAATTCCCTATGTTCAGGGGTCATTTCCTGCAGGAGCTTGCAGGAGTGGAGCTCCGGCAGTAAAGAGCCCAGGGGGCAGGCACATGTAACAAGCCCCGCCCCCTGCTCCCAGCAGCCCTCAATCAAGCCGCAAGAAGCAGCCAGGTAAGTTGCAGAGCCGCCCGCCTTCAGGTACAAGCTCTCCCTCCTCAGTGTGGGCAGATCTGGGCATTCTCCCTCCCTCCCATAGCTAGCAATCCAAAACAGTCCAGTGGCACCTTTAAGACCAGGTTTTATTCAGGTACAGGCTCTCCCTCCTCTGTGAGGGGAGATCTGCATGTCCTCCCCCCCAATAGCTAGCAATCCAAAACAGTGCAGTGGAGCCTGAGCGGTGGTTGTTGCCTTCTGACACACTTCCAGTGATGTCAGGGGGTGTGGCATATGCTAATAAGTTATGCTAATAAGTTATGCTAATGAGCTCCTGTACCTCTTTTTTTACAAAATGACCCCTGCCTATGTTACCATAATTGATATTCTGCCGTTACTGTAGGTGCAACATACTGTACTCTGTTCTGAGTTTTTGTTTGTATTCTGTGTATGTGGTTTTTAATCCTGTAATTTTGTGCACTGTGCAATAAATGTTTGTACTTTATTTCATTATTTTAGCTGCTCAGCGTTTAAGGTTCCTAATCTGATTTTCAGGTTGGGGTTTTCCCCCTTCTGTTGTTTCCTGCTTGGCTAACCACATCCAACTGTCAAAGGAAATATTAATGACCAAATCTAGTTCCTTAGTTATCTGGCAAAAAAACCGACACGTGTCCAAATCCGTCAATATAGGTTATAAATAATTCGATACACCTTTTGAATGACCTGAAGACATTAAATTCTCAGAGGACAGTGGGATAGGAATGTTTTAAGCAGATTCCAGTGGGGTAGCCATATTAGTCTGTTACAGCAAAAAAAAAACCAACCCAAATAATTCAAGTCACAGTTTTCTTTTTATTCCAGGGGGTGAATGGCAAGAAAGTAAAGATGAGGAGTGTTTTCAGCTGGGAAGACCTATGCAAAGCGAACCAAGCAGGGCATCTCTGAGTGGAGCAAAAGGAATGATTTTTCAGGGACCTAAAACAGAAGAAGAGTTTGTAAGTCGAGAGGAACAAGGAAGTTGTGCTCAATTCGATTCGGTGAGGAGGAGTTCTTCGGGCAATCAAAGTTTAATTGAAGTAGCCATCTGTGGGAGAGAAATGGGGGACAAAGTCTGTCGGGAAGGTCGGGCACCCCAGAGAAGACAGAAATCGTTTGTCTGCTCAGAGTGTGGGAAAATCTTTGTTCGGAATTCAGCCCTGAATAACCACAAGACCACACATACAGGAGAGAAGCCGTTTCAGTGTTCAGTCTGTGGGAAATGCTTTGGATATAAAGCACTTCTTGTTCGACACGGAAGATCCCACGCAGAAGAAAAGCCATACAAATGCTTAGTCTGTGGGAAAACCTTCAGCTGTAGTACCATCCTTGCCATCCACGAACGAACCCACACAGGAGAGAAGCCCTACACTTGCTCAGAGTGTGGGAGAAGCTTTAATCAGAAAACACACCTCATCAAACATCAGCGGACTCACACAGGAGAGAAACTGTATCCCTGCTTAGAGTGTGACAAAAGCTTTACCCGTCGATCGACCCTTACTGCTCATAGGAGAAGTCACACGGGGGAGAGACCGTACAAATGTTCCGAATGCGGGAGAAGTTTCAGTCAGAAATCTCACCTGACCACTCACAAGAGGATTCACACGGGAGAGAAACCACATACGTGCCCGCACTGTGGGAACTGCTTCAGTCGAAAATTCGATCTTCTCTTACATGAGAGGACGCACACGGGTGAGAAGCCGTACCGGTGCTCGGAATGTGGGAAGAACTTCTGTCAGAGCTCCCAGCTTTTTGTCCACAGAAGAATCCATACCGGAGAGAAACCGTTCAGATGCTCAGAATGTGGGAAAAGTTTCCGTTGGGAGGGCAGCCTCAAAGCACACGTGAGAAACCACGCAGGGGACAGGCCGTACGCCTGCTCAGACTGTGGGAAAAGCTACAGCAAATCGACCCACCTTATTAGGCACAAGGTGACCCACATGGGAGAGAAACTGTACATGTGCCCAGACTGCGGGAAAAGACTTAGTAGTAAGTCGGCTTTAGTTGAGCATAAAAGGGTACACACGGGGGAGAGACCGTATACCTGTCCGGACTGTGGGAAAAGCTTCACCCGGAGCTCGAACCTTCGAGCTCACCTGAGGATCCATACCAGAGAGAAGCCATTTGTCACATAGATATCATGTACTGTCACGCCGGGACTTCCAAATGTATTACTAACCACTTTAATGGTGAGGATGTAGAGGGTGAGCTGTCTGCCACTGTGCCTCTCACCCAGTTTCTTCCTCGGTTATGCTGGCTCTGAAAGCAAGATCGAATTGTATCCCAGTGCAAAATGAGGGAGGTAGGTGGATAACAGGACTCAGGGAGGGACTAGGTCGCACACTAAGCCTTGGGGGTGGGGGAGAATCCATATGCAGGAAAAGATGATAAAGTCGTGTGTCACAAAGACTAAAAAGAATCATTATTTGGACAAGCTTTTGTGGACTGTTTTGCCAGACACTTGCAATAATGGCTTTAAATTAGGGGCGGAAAAGTACAGGCTAGATCGTAGGAAAAACTGTTTCACAGTCAGAGTTGTGCCACAATGGAGCCAGCTGCCTCGGGAGGAGGTGAGCTCCCCCTCACTGGCAATCTTCAAGCAGCGGCTGGAGGGATGCTCTAGGCTGATCCTGCACTGAGCAGGGGGTTGGACTGTAGGTCCCCTGTCAGCTCTGTGATTCTATGAAATGCGGCATTGAGTTTGCAGGTGTACAAACCAAACAGGATGGGAGAGAGTCATTAAACGGGGAGGCCACAACAAGGCCGGGTCTTGATTTGGACCAGATCTTGATTTTGTCTCTGCCCTGCAGTGCAACTTATCCAGTCCGAGTAGGCATGGATCAGTGAACCCATGAAGCTGCCTTACGCTGAATCAGACCACTGGTCCCTCAAGGTCAGCACTGTCAACTTCGACTGGGATGGGCTTTCCAGGGGCTGAGGTTTTTCACATCACCTCTGAACCGATCCTTACTGGAGATGCTGGGGATTGAAACTGGGACCTTCTGCATCTGAAGCCGCCGCTTTACCACTGATCCGCGGCCCCTCCCGACTGAACGTCCAGGTCTGGTCACCGCAGCTCAAAAAAGATACAGCATTGGAAGAGGTGCAGAAAAGGGCAACTAAAATGATTGAAGGGGATGGAACACTTTCCCTATGAAGAAAGGAGCTATACCACAGCCACACTGGCTCTCTGTGGTCAAGGTGTTTCATAACACTGAGGGTGCGTTCAGACGGGGCATTTGCAACGGTATAGGTGCCGGTAGGAATCGGTGTACTTACCGGCGTTCACACGGCGAACATCTGCCTTCCGTCCCTAACCGTTGCAAAGAGCTTTAAACCATTGTATTCTGCCACTAGGTCCCCAAGTGGTAGTATCCTGAGTGCAACGGTTGTAATCGCTTTACCCCCCCCCCCCCCGTCTGATCGCTCTCCACCTTAAAACTTTAAAGGTAAGTCCTCTCTTCAGGGCATGCTTTTCGGGACGGGGTGTTTTGCACATGCGCGAAGATCGCCCATTCTATGGATGGCATTGGCTGCCTATGCGCATGCTCAAACTGAGTTTAAAAAAAACCCCGCTGACGCCCGCTGTGTGTGAACGGGCATACAGTGATGGGCTCCGCAGACAGGAGGTAAGTGTGATCGCGTTTCAGCCGGCATGCCGGTTGAAACGCCCCGTCTGAACGCACCCTGAGTGTCTATAGCCCAGGTTTCCATCAGGAAACTATGAGATTTGTATTTCATTTTGAGTTTTATTTTGCACCTCTTCCTATCTTTATACTGAAATGGCCTCTCTTTTGGCCCTAGAATAAATAATCTGCTACATTTTTGTCCGAGCTCTTGAGGGAAACAGCTGTGGGAGAACTTGTGACTGACCCAAGGTCACACCAGCAGCTGCATGTGGAGGAGTGGGGGATCAAACCTGGTTCTCCCAGATTAGAGTCCGCCACTCTTAAGGGAGGGAAGGTCTCTTCAGTCACCATGGCTAGTAGACTTATCCTCTGCAAATCTATCTAATCCTCTCTTGTAAAGCTGTTTACTCCTATGGCCATCACTACATCCTCTGGTAGCTAATTCCATATTTAATCAATATTCCCTAGGGAACAAAAGGGGGGAAAGTATAAATAGAGAAGGGTGTAGGTTTTTTAAAAAATAATGTAGATAAGAATGTAGCTCAGAGAGACACAAAACTGATGGTGTGTTTGGCTGGGTGGGGTGCAGTTTAAAGGATTCAAGGCGACTTGTGGTTAGGAGCGTGGACTCTAATCTGGGAGAACTGGGTTTGATTCCCCACTCCTCCACATGTAGCTGCCGGTGTGATTTTGGATCAGTCATAAATTCTTTCAGAGCTGTTCTCTCAAGGGCAGTTCCTGCGAGAGCTCTCTCAGCCCCATCGACCTCAAAGGGTATCTATTGCGGGGAGGGGAAAGGAAGAGATTGTAAACTGCTCTGAGACTCCTGCGGGTAGTGAAGAGGGGGGTATAAATCCAGTCTCTTCTGTCTTAAAGTCTGCCACACTGCCTAGGGTTGCCAGGTTTGAATGACAAGCCGGCGGGGGACTTAGGGGAGGGAAGAGGTCCCTTGGTTCCTACAATGTCGCTTCCTCATTTCCCCTTAATAAACTAACCCCTTTGCAGCATTTCCGCCTGTGGGGCAAAGCACCCCTGGCTCCCCTCCCTCAAGAGTGAATGTGAATGTGAAATGGGGCTTGTTCCATCCTGCAGGTGTTACTGATTGATCTCTCTGCCTGCATCGCCTTTATCCTCTTCAAGGCCAGAGCTGGGAAAGTGGTAATTAACTCCTCCTGAGCACCTGGGGCCCACAGAATGGGAGGGAGGAGGTCAGGAGTGGTGAGGTAATTTTCTAGAGGGTTCCAGCAAGGCTGTGTGCCGATTGGATGTCATCGTCATCACCTGATGCTGCTTAATAAAAAAAAACACACCAAACCTATAATTGAGCTAAGAGCCCGGAAGAAAGAGGCTAGCTTGGACTGCAGGGTAGAGAACGAGACAGCTGCAGCCTTTGACTCGTGGACTTAAGGTTTGTGCCATCTAAGGCAAGCTCTGAAAGTGTGTTAGACGGTTAAGCTAGTTTTCTTGGGGTTTTTCCCTGCTAAAAGATTTTAGAATGTTGTGTTGCCGGCGGGATAAATTGTTGTTTTGACAGAGATTGAATAAAACTTCATAATATTTTAATGATATGGAAAAGGTTTGGTTACTTGCGTACAACACAGCCCTGAGGACCTAAGGGGTTCGGCTGTGGACTCTTTGACACCCCCCTTCTTCTCTTTCCTGTAACAAATTGGATTTTGTTTTTAAAATATTTCCCTGTTCCCCTTTGTTAAGGATTTTCCACATGAGCACATTGTACATGCTCTCCTTTACTTTTGGTACTTCCAGATATCATTTTGTTCAAATTTAGGAATGCTTATCAGGGCTTCTTTGTCCCACGTATCTGTTTTCACATATCTTTATGGTAGTTGTTGTAGGCACTGCTTTGTTTCTTTCACCTTGCAGTAAATTTCTTCTATAAACTGCTGCTTTTTGAGGGGTAATACTTTTTTTTTAAACAGAGTTTATGCTATGAGAGCCAGTTTGGTGTAGTGGTTAAGTGCACGGACTCTGATCTGGGAGAACCGGGTTTGATTCCCCACTCCTCCACTTGCACCTGGCTGGATGACCTTGGGCAAGCCATAGTTCTGATAACAGCTGTTCTTGAAAAAGAGCAGTTTGTGTCAGAGCTCTCTCAGCCCCACCCACCTCACAGGGTGTCTGTTGTGGGGCGGGGGAGGGAAAGGAGTTTGTAAGCCGCTCTGAGACTCCAAGTGAAGGGCGGGGTATAAATCCAATCTCTTCTTCTCTTCTTCTATGAATACTGTAACCTGTGAAAGTGTTTATTTTCTCCAGGGCCCAGCTGTCCCCAAATTTCCCCTTCCAGAACTTTTGACTTTATAGTTAAAAGTACTGTTCTTAATCTCTCTATTAATACACTCCTACATTTTCTGTTCTACCTTTAAAAAAAAAAACCTGCCACCAGCCAAATTTGGACACCTGATCTGTCGGGCTCACACTGTCTGTGCCAAAACACATCACTGTGGGAAAAGCAATCACCATTATGCAATATGCTCTCACAATGGAAAGGTATTGTCCCTTTAATATGATCAAGAATTTTATAAAAAATTTCCTTTTAGTAGAACACCCAAGAATTTTACATCAATTCTTAAATGAGGAATGTCTTCTTTCGTAGCAATTCCTAGATAATGTTTACCAGTGTAGCACATTTTGTCGGGGAATTGGCTTAAGCATTTTACGTGGATACAGATTATGCTTTTGCATACAGGGAACAGCAATTTCTTACATAAAGAATGTATATTCTGAGCAACAGTTTGTGTCATCAAAATCCATGTTAGAGTTGTTTTACCTGTTTTTAATATACTGGGAAAGGGGACCGGGGGGGGGGGACAGTTACAAAAAATTAACAAACCATGAAGTTCTTGTCAGGTACCCACATATTGTTATTTTGGACTAAGAAGTGCAGTTGGTATATGCTCAGAGTAACTTTTCTTGCCCTTCTTATTCCTTTTCTCTTGGGAATCAGTCATATCACTGAAAGCAGATTCCAGACCAAAACCCCCCTAGCTAGGGTTGCCAAATAAGCAAGAATCTGTTTTTTAAAAAGCACACCAGTCTAACTTGTTATTTGCCTTAGTCAACAGCTTGATGGGCAGAAATCAGCAGGAGCTTTTCACCGTATGGAAAGCAAGATTAGGGATTGAGGAACAAGAGGGGGGATGTACCAAGCTTATTTCCTAAACTCCTGCCTTTCCAAGCACACCCTTTTCTCCAGACTTCAGGTTGAAAAGTTCCAAACTCAGCTTCACTTTTTACCATCGGTCTGTTCAAGCCACCCACAATGCCTCCCACTCTTCTCTAAAGAATCACAATACCCTGGAGGTAGCATTCCAGGAAGCAGAACTGGTTTGAAAGCCCAGTTGTGGAAGGTGCTGTCAAATCTCAGCTGACCGTGTAGGGTTTTCCAGGCCAGAGAGAAACAGGGGTGTTTTGCCATTGCCTGCCTCTGCATAGCGACCGTGGACTTCCTTGCTAGTCTCCCATCCAAGGACTAACCAGGGCTGACCCTGCTTGGCTTCCACTATCCATCGAGTTCAGACTAACCTGGGCCACTCAGGGCAGGGCTCTGAAAGCCGACTACAGCCGACAGAAACTGCGCCTTAGGGGTAAGCAGGCGAAATAACCAGTGGAATCCAACCAACTTTTCCAAGGTGAAAAGGAAAAGAAGGGGTCCCTTCCCAAAAAGATTATGCTGGGTATCATGGGACCTGAACAGGCAAAAGCAATAAAGTAAGGGAGTAATAAAGAAAGGGAATTGGAACAAAACTGAGTGAAAAAGCTGGCTGGATCAAACCCAAGGCTTACGGAACTCGTGCAGATGAAATATCGAATAAGCACCGATGAAAGGTACATTAGGGCATTTCATGCGATGCAGAGTGGTCTGTCAGGAATCTGGGAAGAGCATCCACTGCTGCAAGGGATCTACAAAGGAAATTAAATAAGCACAACCAGTCCACAAGATGGCAGGGTTTAGTGGCAGCTATTTTCTTAACCAACAAGAGGCTGGTTAAAAAATTGACCAAATGTTACAGATTGGTCAGTATTGATACACAAAATCTGTGCCTGTGTGCTCCCGTGCCGAATTGGAAACAGACAGTCGGAGTCCAACGAGTTAGATGAGTATCTGTTTAATGCATTGAAAACGGGGAATACAGGGCTGAATGCCTTGGCATCAGTATGGGCCATTTATGTCAAACCCACTTTTCTCCCACAAGGTAAAGATGGAACACTCTGTCTGGGGCAGTGATGCTTTGACATCTTGGTGCTTGGGGGGCAACAGTGGGAGGGCTTCTGGAGTTCTGGCCCCGCTGGTGGACCTCCTGATTGCACCTTGGTTTGGCCACTGTGTGACAGGGTATTGGACTGGATGGGTCACTGGCCTGATCCAAGATGGCTTCTCTTGTGTTCTCCCTCATTGCTGGGGCAAAATTGCTTAAATAAATAATGAATAACAGGGCCAAAAAGGAATGGCAGTATGAGACACAGTTGTGACGGCTACATATGTGCTGTGGAATGGGTCAGGAAACATACACTTGAGGGTATTTGGATACCATTTAAATTATATTTGATGTAGCATTTTTCCTGCACAGTTTTGCAGAGTTCTTGTATGCTTTTCCTTCTGCGTGGATCTTCTTATGCGTGTTAAGGTTTGATGTCCTGCTGATGCTTTTCCCACACTCCAAGCACATATACGGTTTCTCTCCTGTGTGCACCCTTTGATGGACTATAAGGGCGGAGTTGCAATCAAAGATTTTCCCACAATCCAGGCACTTGTATGGTTTCTTGGCCGCGTGGATCCTCTTGTGCCTAATAAGTTCAGACTCCTTCTCATAGCTTTTCCTGCACTCTGAGCATTCATGCGGTTTCTCTTCTGTGTGCATCTTTTTATGGGCTAAGAGCTCAGAGTTTCCGTCAAACCTTTCTTTACAGTCGGGGCATTTGTATGGTTTCTTGGCTGTGTGGGTTCGCTTGTGCCTAGTTAGTTGGGACTCCCTGTTGTAGCTTCTCCAGCAGTCTGGGCACTTGTGCGGTTTGTCCCCTGTGTGTGTCCTGTTGTGCATTTTAAGGCTGCCTTCCCAACGAAAGGCCTTCCCACACTCGAGGCATTTGAAAGGTTTCTCTCCCGTATGGATTCTTTTGTGGAGAAAGAGCTGAGTACTCTGAGTGAACCTTTTCCCACATTCTGGGCACCCATGTGGTTTCTCTCCCATGTGGGTTTCCTTGTGTCTGATAAGGTGGGATGACTTACTATAGCTTTTACCACAGTCTGAACAGGAATACGGCCTATCTCCAGCATGGTTCCTCATGTGTATCCTAAGGCTGCCTTCCCAACGGAAGCTTTTCCCGCACTCTGAGCATCTGTATGGCTTCTCTCCAGTGTGGATTCTTTCATGCACGAAAAGGTTTGAGCTTTGACTGAAGCGTTTCCCACATTCTGAACACCGATAGGGTTTCTCTCCGGTATGTGTTCTCTCATGTATGAGGAGGTCATTTGTTTGACGAAAGCGAGTCCCACACTGCAGACACATATGTGGCCTCTCCCCAGTGTGGATTCTTCTGTGGGTGCTAAGGTGCGACCTCTGACTAAAGCTTTTCCCACATTCGGGGCATATGTATGGTTTCTCTCCAGTGTGACTTCGTTCATGGATTATAAGGTTGGACCTACAGCTGAAACTTTTGTCACATTCTATGCAGGGATAGAGTTTCTCTCCTGTATGAGTCCGCTGATGGCTCACAAGATGGCTTCTCTTGGTAAAGTCTCTCCCACACTCTATGCAAGTATAGGGCTTCTCTCCTGTATGTATTCTTATGTGATCTGAGAGGATAGTACTTGTACCGAAGGTTTTCCCACAGACTAAGCATTTGTATGGCTTTTCTTCTGTGTGGGATCTTCCATGTCTTGCAAGAAGTGCCTTATATCCAAAACATTTCCCACAAACTAAACACCGATGTGGCTTCTCGCCTGTATGGGTTGTCTGATGGTCAGAAAGAGCCGAATTTGAAACAAAGCCTTTCCCACACTCTGAGCATATACACACTTTCTTTCTTTTGCGGACTGGCTTAACCTTGAGGAGACCGGAGTTATTCCTTAATTTTTCTCTACATTCAGCATTCCCCATTTCTATCACACATAAAGCAGCATTGGTTAACTCTTGCCTGTCCAAAGGAGAATCCCTTGTTGCTGGGTCAAAATATGCATGGCTTCCTAAGTTTTGCAGACTTCTACATGTTTCACGAATTTCAGATCCATGAAAAATAATTTCTTTTGCTTGGCTTATTGGTACACCATTAAGTTTGCTCTGCTCTGGTCCTCCCAGCTGACCACTGTCCTCCTGACTTACTTTCCCATCACCTGCCGGAACAAAAGGGAACAGCGTTTTGATTCAGGCCTGCCACAAACGAATGGAAAATCAACTTCTCACTTTTATTGTGTATCGTTTTAGGCAGACAGATTCAATTGTTGGCAGGGTCTCTGCTTTGGCATGAGAACAGTTAGACCAAAAACTCAGCATTCTTACCCACCGTGATTCCAGGATCTGAAGGTGACACACCCCCTAACTGTTTGCCTCCTGCATTTGGTGCTCAGGCATACTGCCTCTGAACAGAGAAGTTCCACTCCAATATTATGAGGTTGAGAGACCTGTTTAAGTTTGCCCAATCCTTTTCTCCAGACCGTCTAAGCTAGTGACAATCTACATGGTTCCAAACAATGAATTCTTCAAGGTTATGCAACTATCCGTTTGTGACTTTGTCATCCGTTTAGGTAATAGAAGAAGAGATTGGATTTATACCCCGCCCTTCACTACCCAAAGGTGTCTCAGAGCGGCTTACAAACTCCTTTCCCTTCCCCTCCCCACAAAAGACACCCTGTGAGGTGGGTGGGGCTGAGAGAGCTCTGACAGAAAGTGCTCTTTTCCAAGGACAGCTGTGCCAGAGCTTGTGACTGACCCAAGGTCACATCAGCAGGTGCCAGTGGAGGAGTGGGGAATCAAACCCGGTTCTCCCAGATTAGAGTCCGCACACTTAACCACTACACCAAACTGGCATTGTGATACATCTATTCAGGGCTTTTTTTTCTTTTTGAAAAAGATGCCGGAACTCTCAAGAGGGGAAATGAAGTTTTCAGTCTGCATACTGAGAACGCATGAACTTTTAAACATTTTTTTAAAGAGTTTTGTCGAAGAGTTTCCAGAACTCTGTTCTGGCACATTCCCACAGAAAAAGAGCCCTGATCCTACTTCATTTTCAAATGCTCTATAAGAAATGCCTTTTCTTATCACTGCCTCAAAATAAGAGCCACCTAGACACGACAGTATCCTCTTGCCCGCCACAAGGATACTGCTGCCATTTTCATCATTTAAAAATGCAGCAAGGGCCCAGTGCTGATCAGTAGGGTTACCATTCCTTAGGTGGCACGTAGAGGTCTCCTGCTATTACAACTGATGTCCAGGCAACCAAGTTGGATAGCCGTGTTTGTCGCCTCTGTAGCAGTGGAACAGAGCAGGAGAGTCCAATAGCACCATAAAAAGGTAAAGGTTCCATTGCTCGAAAGCCAGTCGAGTCCGACTCTAGGGTTGCGGTGCTCATCTCCGTTTCAAAGCCGAAGAGCCAGCGCTGTCCGAAGACGTTTCCGTGGTCATGTGGCCGGCATGACCGCACGGAACATAAAGCCTAACAAACTATGTGGCAGGGGATGAGCTTTCGTGAGTCACGGCTCACTCCAGATGTACAGATACGAAGAAGGGAGCGGTGACTCACGACGGCTCCTCCCCTGCCACATATTTTGTCAGTCTTCATGGTGCTCCTGGACCCTTGCTCTTTCCTACTGCTACAGATGATCGAGATGATCAGTTCCTCTGGAGAAAATGGGTGTTCTGGAGGACGGGCTCAATGGCATTATGCCCTGCTGAGGCCCTTCCCCTCCCCAAACCCTGCCTACCTCAGGCCCCACCCTGCCCCCATGTCTCCAGGTATTTCCCAACTGGGACCTGGCAACCAGTGTTCCCTCTAAGCTGAGTTAGTGTGAGCTAGCTCACAGTTTTTCAGCCTCCGGCTCACACACTTTTGTCTCAGCTCAGGAAGGAGGGCTCCAGAGCAGACTAATTTATGCAGTAGCCAAATCGCTCACTCACCACTTTAATGCCAGTCGCTCACAAAGTAGAATTTTTGCTCACAAGACTCCACAGCTTAGAGGGAACATTGCTGGCAACCCTACAGTCCTACAGCGCAGCGGGCTGAGGCACATGTGTGTGTGTGTGTCCGTCCCCCCATGTCTTGTCAAGTGTCAAAACAGCCTCACTCCCTGCCCTGCAGCTGTTTTGGCACTTGAAATTGGGGGGGGGAGATAAGACTGCCCCACTGCAAGCCCAATCGGCTTTGTACCCTTTAAAAGAGCAGTGGTGGACTCATGGCAGCCACGAAAACAGTGTCCCCTTTAGTTTTGCCCCTAAGAATTAGCAAATAAGGCAAAAAGCACTGCAAAAAACACTCTTGACCATCGAAGGATTCAGGTACCCAAATCCTTACCCAGCAAACTGGCCTCCCCATCACCCTCTTGCTTGGCCTCCATCTTCTGGGTCTCTGATGGATTCAGGTCTGATGAGGGGAAATCTAGCAGTCTTGGCACCTGAAGGAGATAAATGTTGAGGAGACTGGGAAAGTGATTCATGCTATAGATATGACTATTCTGCCTCCTGATTCAAACAGCTTTCCCCACTCCAGTCACAAGTCTGGGGAATGGAGCTGTCTTTCCTTCCCTTTTTTCCTATCTCACCACTTAGGGTGTCCATGTCTGGCACGGACCTGAGCCTGTGCCTTCTCCGTCATAGCTCCAGCTCTGTGGGACGGGCTCCCTGAAGAGGTGGCGGGGTCCCCTCCTTGGGAGATCTTCAGGCGGTGCTTCAAGGCCTGCCAATTTGCCAGGGCTTTTGAAGGGGTGTGAATGGAAGGCATCTTTTAAGGAGGGAGCAGGGAAAGATTTGGGGTCTGTTATTTTATTATGGTTTTGACTGTCTTCTCACTGTTGTTGTAAACTGCCTTGAACCATGAAGAAAGGTGAGGTGTAAATATTTTAATAAACAAATAAGCAAAGCATGGAAGAAGAAGAAGAGATTGGATTTATACCCCGCCTTTCACTTGGGAGTCTCAGAGCATCTTATAATCTCCTTTCCCTCCATTCCTGTGAGGGGCTCTTTCGAGAACTGCTCTTGAGAGAACAGCTCTGAGAGAACTGTGGCTTGCCCAAAGTCACCAAGCAGCTGCATGTGGAAGAGTGGGGAATCAAACCCGGTGCTCCCAGATTACACCAAACTGACCCTTATGTGGTGCTTCTAAGGCTTATAGAAATGACCCTGCCTCCAGACAGTTCTCTTCTGGATAACTTGCAAGACTCTTCCCAGGTTCAATCCCTGGCATCTCCAGCTAAAAAGGCATTAGGTGATGAGAAAGACCCCTGCCTGAGACCTTGGAGAGCTGCTGCCAGTCGGAATGGACAATACGGACTTCAATGGACCAGTGGTCTGATTCAGTAGAAGGCAGCTTCATGTGTTCCCTGCCACCTTCCTCCAAAGTTCACTTGGATTTGACTCCACTTTTCTTTCTCAGGCTACAAACGGCAGCCCTGGTTGAGAAGTACAACCTGGGGGGAGCTGTCCAGCTCAGACTCTGTGTGCGGGACCATTTCTTCTCCTCCCAGCCAGCCTTGGGGCTCCTTTTTAGCTCCTCCCCCCCTTCTTTGTTCTCCTTCCCTTCAACTCACCTGCTTCCTGCAGCATTCACACTGAACACCCTGGAGAATCCACACCATTCCCCCATTCCTGGCTATTGCGAATAGCCGGGGCAGCCAAAGAAAGGGAAGAAGGGGCGTGTTGGGAAGAAAGCTCCGGTTTCTGGGCCTCTCTAGAAATCAGAGCTCAGTGCATTTAACCCCTTCTAGCATATCTTGGGGAATTAGCTGGGTGGCCAGGTTGCCTGTCTCCCCCCACCCCCCCAAATAATTCAGCCGGATACAATTCTTCCATTCACTGCACCAGGTAGATTTCTGCGTGCCCTTAGTAGTTACGGATTGCACTGAATTATTCTATGTAATCTGCCGTGAGTCCCAGCAAGAAAAGGGGAATATAAATGACATAAAATAAATTAACAAATAAACCACAGAAGAAAAGAAGGGGCAGGAACTGGCCTGAAACTAGTAGCATCCTTTTAACTCAAGCTTTTCCTCTCCTTGTTAACAGAACTCAGCGGTGTTCATTTAGCAAGGAAGTATAAGAACCATTTGGACATGTTCAGAGGCACACTTTTTTCTTGAGTTTATTACAATGCTGCAAATCTGGCATCTTTTGGGCCTGGAGTGACCAGATGTTGCGTCCCTGACCGTAGTGCCCTTGGGGGAACATATGGATAAAGGCGGTCCCTTCGGTATGTCGGACCCTGGCCATATAGGGCTTTAAAGGTAAGAACCAGCACTTTGAAGCGAATCCTGTACGCTATTGGCAGCCAGTGCAGTGCTTTCAGCACAGACCGGATGTGCTCCCGCCTAGAGAGACCCATCAGCAGCCTGGCTGCAGCATTCTGCACTAGCTGCGGCTTCTGGATTTGCAACAAAGGCAGCCCCATGTAGAAAGCATTTACAGTAGTCTAACCTCGAGGTGACCACGCATGGATCACTGTGGCCAGGTCATTGCAGTCAAGGAAGGGAACCAACTGCCGAGAGAAAGATGGTAAAAGGCCGACTTGGCAGTGGCTGCCCCCTAGGCCTCCATGTTAAAGAGGAGTCCAGGAGCATTCCCAAATAAAGAGGAGTCCAGGAGCATTCCCAAACTCCTAACCTCCGCACCAGAGGCGCCCCATCGAAGGTCAGGAGAGGGACCCTCAACCTCGAACTAAACTTGGCTGGCCTTAAAGGTGCCCCTGGAAACTTTGTTCTCCTGCTTCCGCTTCAGCAAGTAAACCTTCCCCGCCAGGCCCAGCTCTCCAGGTTCCATTTGGACAGGAAGAAATCCGGGCTTTCCCGGCACCGAGCTGCAGTCCTCCATCTGGACATTTTCCTGCTGCGGCCAGAGACGGGGGACTGCCAGGGCAACCCACGTTCCCAGCAATTGGGCGAGCGGTGCGGATTGGCCGGAGGGGTCATTTGGAGGGCTGCGGGGAGCAGGTGAGGGACAGTCACGGGGAGGGGCGGGAGAGAGGAGAGGAACGGGGGGGGGCGGAGAAAAGAGATGGGCAGGGGCTGGCTGAGAAGAAGCAGCCGCTGCTGTGCAGGCGGAGAGCCCAGGGCCGGACCCAGCCCCCAATCCGTGCCAGCCGCATTGCTCTGTTTAGCTCAGGAGCCAGGTCCGGGCATCTTTTGGGCCTGGAGTCACCAGATGTCGCGTCCCCAGCTTACTCAGATTTCTGCTGGGACAGTTTTGTTTGACGCTCGGCCCCTAAGGCAGCCACCCTACCAAGGGGAGCTCTGGATGGAAGAAGTAGCTCCCGGGCCCTGGAGAAAAGAGACCAGCAGTGGCTGGCTGGGAAGAAGCAGCCGCCGCTGTGCAGGCGGAGAGCCCAGAGCTCTGACTCCTCTCTGGCCCCGAGCCGGACCGGCCCCCCCCCTTCCTATTTCCAGGACAGCCTCCTCTCCTAACTGTGTGCCCTGTATTCTGAGGTTCCTTTTGCGCCTCCATCTGTGTTTTGCATTTGCAGAGGGTTTCGTCAGCTCATAGCATGAATTGGTATCTGAAGAAGTGTGCCTGCACAGGAAAGCTTATACCTTGAATAAAACTTTGTTGGTCTTAAAGGTGCCACACTGACAAACCACCACTAAAGCCCTTGGGTAGCTCCTGGAACAAACCAATGCCTCCAACTTCACCTATACCACCGCCCCCTTCCTCGGCCAAACCATCACATCTCCCCACACTGAGACAAGAGCCTCTTCCTAGGTGGAAACCATAGTCAACATTTATCTATTTATTCATTAAATTCAATTTTTAGACCCCACCCACCCCCAGGACAGGGCTCAGGGTGGTGTACATCGGAAAAATCTTTACACATGTTGTAATAAACATGAAGAGGCCACTATTTCAATCAGCAGCCAGGAAAGCAGCTCTTCTTTTCAGGGAACAGACCCATCCTTTCCTCACCATTCCCATACCAGAGTGTCCCATCTCAGTGCAGAAGGGAGAGCATTTAGGCTTCACGCAAGGTAAGGCCTTCCAGTACCACACAATCGGAGGCCGCATCATGGGAGGTAGTGTTGGTGAGCAAGGAGCACCACCATCAACTTCCAACCAGGAACACTGCTGAGAGACCCCTGGTGCTGAAGAATTCTTCACCTCCATTAATTCAATAGTTTACAGTAGCATTCAGCAACTGGCAACACCTCAGGAAGCGTTAATCCTGTGACAGAGGTACATTTTAGGATAACCGACCTGTTTTTGGTATGATGGATTTTATGATGGATTTTAAGTTGTATTTTTATGCATTTGTGTAAGCCTCCTTAGGAGCTGCGGTGGCTCAAGTGGTTAAGACGCTAAACTGCAGGCTGTGGAAGGTCAGTAGTTCAGCAGTTCGAGACCCGGGTGCCGCATGACGGAGTGAGCTCCCGTCTCTAGTTCCAGCTCCTGCCAACCTAGCAGTTCGAAAGCAAGAAATTGCAAGTAGATAAATAGGGACCACTTCGGTGGGAAGCTAACAGCGTTCCATGCGCCTTGGTGTTTAGTCATGCCAGCCACATGACCACAGAAAACGTCTTCGGACAGCGCTGGCTCTTCGGCTTTGAAACGGAGATGAGTACCGCAACCCTAGAGTCGGACTCGACTGGCTTTCGAGCAAGGGAACCTTTACCTTTAAGCCTCCCTGAGCCTGCCTTGGTAAGGAGGGCGGGGTATAAATCGAATAAAATAAATAACTCAAAAGAGAGGGTGAAGCAAAAGCTCATGAAGAGAACAAGGAGGCGGCACAGAGGATTCCATGGAGTGCCTGTAGTTTTGTTCTGGTTCCCCGTCCCCTTTTCTTTCTGGAACTCGAGAAAGAAAAGGATACATCCATTACGTCTGGATATCCTCAGCGTTTCTGGACAGTTCATTAGGTGTTATCAGTCTTTTTTTATTATATCCATATTTGTGTTAAATTTTTTAACTTGCAGTGTTAGAAGTTAGGTGTAGGAGCTTTTGTATTGTGGGTAGAGGAATTCACCTTTGTTAATCTGATGTTTGATGTTTCCCTTTGGAGTATGAAATAAAATATTTAAAAAAAAGTTTCTCATTGGATCCGCCCTTTGAAGTTCCTTTATAAGGAGGACTGTAAGTTGCTGTTGTTGTTTTGAAATGGCCTCCTTTTGTAATATCTCCACCCTCCCACCTTTGTGTTGTGCATAAACATCAGGAGAAGAAGAGATTGGATTTATACCCCGCCCTTCCCCTCCCCTCAACAGACACCCTGTGAGGTAGGTGGGGCTGAGAGAGCTTTCTCGAGGACTGCTCGTGAGAGAACAGCTCTGAGAGAACTTGTGACTGACCTAAGGTCAGTCCAGCAGCTGCATGTGGAGGAGTGAGGAATCAAACCCGGTCCTCCCAGATTAGAGGTTTTGCTGCCCTTCTGTTTACAGTGGGGCAGCAGCTTTCACTAAGACATGGAATTTGATATGTTTGTATCTGAAGCGTTAATTGCTTTTTCAGCCTTGCAAAACATCCTCACTGTAAAGATGCCTCCATCTCTTTCAGGTGCCAGGGCTGCGCAAGGAGATGTCTGCTGATTTCCCAACATCAGACCTGAATCCTCCAGAGAGCTGGAAGATGGCGTTCCCTGTGCAGGTCAAGCAGGAGGGTGACAGGGAGGCCAGTTTGTTAGGTAAAATGTTGTGTCCCTTGGTTAGGAGATAGTTAAGAGCCTTTTATACAGTTCCTTTTTCTGTCCCCCACTTTTTACTCTGGTGTAGTAAAAAACCCACCAGTTGTTAGTGAGGGATTCTGGAGAAAGGACTGCGGATACAATTAGAACTGGTACAAGTGGGAACCTGCAAGGACTTGCAGGAGGCATCTCATCCCCCCCCCCCTTTCCTCTTTTCTTTTCCGGAAAGACCTCATAGCCTCTCTCCTGTCCCTGGTTCCTTCTCTCCGTCTAGGGGTTTCAACCTACAGGTGAGGCCTGGAGATCTCCTTGAATCATAACAGATCTCCCAACTACCCACTTTAGTCCCCCCCCCCTTAGGATTGCCAGCAGTGTTTCCTCTGAGCTGAGTTAGTGTTTTAGCTAATTTTGTCTTCGCTCAGGAAGGAGGGCTCCAGAGCAAAGTAATTTATGCAGCAGCCAAATCGCTCGCTCACCACTTTGATGCCAGTAGCTCACGAAGTAGAATTTTTGCTCACAAGACTCCACAGCTTAGAGGGGACACTGGCTGCCGGCACTGTTCCATCTAAGCTGAGTGAGTGTGAGCTAGCTCACAGTTTTTTAGCCTCCAGCTCACTCCTTTTTGTCTTAGCTCAGGAAGGAGGGCTCCAGAGCAAACTAATTGATGCAGGAGCCAAATCGCTCGCTCACAACTTTGATGCCAGCAGCTCACAGAGTAGGATTTTTGCTCACAAGACTCCACAGCTTAGAGGGAACATTGGCTGCCGGCTCCAGGTTAGGATATTCCTGGAGATTTGGGTAGGGACCCTTGGAAGGGCAAGGTTTGGGAAGTGAAGCAACCTCAGCAGGATATAATGCCATAGGATCCACCCTCCAAAGCAGATGTTTTCTCCAGGCGAACTGGTCCCGCTCGTCTAGAGATCAGTTCTAATTCTGGGTGGTCTCCTGCCTCCACCTTGGAGGTTGGCTAGTCTAGTTCCCAATTGGCAATGAGGATTTAAAGTCTATGGCATTATACCCTTCTGAAGCCCTTTCTGTCCTTAACCCAGATCCCCCCAAATCTCTAGGAATTTTCTACCTTGAAACTGGCAACACTGTTTCCTTCCCACTCAACAGCCAACCTACCTTTTATCTGCCTGAAATAGTGATAATGCTGCATAAATCAAAATAGGAGTGAATTTTTCTCCCAGCATGGTATGTGATTGATTCAAGGCACAATTCTGCTTTTATTCTGGCAGGTGATGGAAAAGCGAGTGAGGAGGAGAATCATCTACTGGACGGACCAAAGCAGAGTGAACCCAATGTGGTGTCGGTAGCTGCAGCAGAAGGAATTGTGTTACATGGAGCAGAAATTCGTGAAATCCATGGAAGTCAGCAGAAGCTAGAAAGCTGTGCCAATTTCTGCTCAGTTACCACACGATTCCTTTTGAGAAACCAACATTTAATTGAAGCATCTTCCTGTGGGCAAGAAACGGGAGACATTCAAGGTGGGGAAAAGACCAGGCAGAGCTCCACCTTTCTGAAGATTAAGCCAGCCCGCAAGAAAATGAAAACATTTGTATGCGGAGAGTGTGGGAAAGGCTTTGTTTCAAATTCAGCTCTTTCTGACCATCAGACCACCCATACGGGTGAGAAGCCGCATCAGTGTTTAGTTTGTGGGAAAGGCTTTGGATATAAGGCGCTCCTTATGAGACATGAAATATCCCATGTGGACGAAAAGCCCTATAAATGTTTAAAGTGTGGGAAAACCTTTGGTACCAGTACCATCCTCTCAGACCATGTAAGAATCCATACAGGGGAGAAGCCCTATACTTGCATAGAGTGTGGTAGAGACTTCACTAAGAGACATCACCTTCTGAGACACGAGAGGACCCATACAGGAGAGAAACTCTATCCATGCTCAGAGTGTGACAAAAGTTTCAGTTGTAGGTCCAACCTTACAATCCACGAGAGAACTCATACTGGAGAAAAACCGTACAAATGCTCCGAATGTGGGAAAAGCTTCAGTCAGAGATCGCATCTTGGAACTCACAAGAAAATCCACACTGGAGAGAAACCACACACCTGCTCGCAGTGTGGGGCCAGTTTCTGTCAAAGGTACAAGCTTCTCCTACATGAGAGGACACATACAGGAGAGAAACCTTACCGGTGTTCAGAATGTGGGAAGAGGTTCACTCAGAGCGCACACCTTTTTGTACATGAAAGAGTCCACACTGGAGAGAAACCGTACAGATGCTCTGAATGTGGGAAAAACTTTCGCTGGGAGGACAGTCTTAAGATACACATGAGAAACCATGCTGGAGACAGACCGTATCTCTGTTCGCTTTGTGGGAAAAGCTACAGTAAGTCATCCCACCTTATAAGGCACAAGGAAACCCATTTAAGAGAGAAACCATAGTAGTGCTCAGACTTGACTAAAGTTCACCCAGGAATGTAGTAGGTCCTATACAAAATAATCCATAAAGGAAGGACAATCCTGCAATGCTCAGAATGTGTGACCGTGTATCGTTTGGAAAGCAGCCTTTAAAAGCATGAGAAAAACTAACGTGGTGGAGAAAGCCATGAGTGCTTAGACTGCAGAAAATACTTTCGGTTTTTAAAGGTGCACCTATGGAACATAAAAGACTGCATACAACGGAGAACACATAACTATGCAGACTGTGGGGCAAGTTTTCACTGTAACGCTATGCTGTTAATCTGTTAGAGGATATGCACAGGAAAGGAACAATATGAATGATCAGGTTGTGGGGAAAAGCCTCAGGTGTAGTTCAATCCATAGTGCACAGGAGGGGGAAACCAAGGGAGAACTCTAGAAGGGGTGTGGAGGAAAAGCCTTACCTCACTGCCTTTATAATAAGGGAACAAAAGTTTGAGTCCAGTGCAATGCTCCCTCTAAGCTGTGGAGTCTTGTAAGCAAAAAACCAATTTGTGAGCTACCGGCATTAAAGCTGTGAGTGAGCAATTTGGCTGCTGCATAAGTTAGTTTGCTCTGGAGCCATCCCTTCCTGAGCTAAGACAAAATTGAGTGAGCCGGAGGCTAAAAAACTGTGAGCCAGCTCACACTAACTCAGCTTAGAGGGGACACTGGTCCAGTGGCACCTTTAAGACCAACAAGTTTGATTCTGGGTATAAGCTTTTTTATGTGTGTGCACTCTTCTTCAGATGTACACGAAAGTTTATTCCTAGAATTAAACCTTGTTGGTCTTAAAGGTGCTTCTGAATTCAAATTTGTTCTGCTGCTTCAAACCCACTCGGCTACCCACCTGAATTTATCATAAGGGCTACAGTTCTGTTTGATAGCTCCTGTGCAAGAGAGGCTGAATCGTCGCCCTGAAATGGGGCCTGAATTCAAATTCTGCAGTCTCCTAGATGGATTCTATCCCTGTGAAGTTCTTTTGAAGGAGAACACAGTATGTCCCTGGGAGGTTGAAACGTTCCCCCGTTGGTCTCTGAGTGTTGTGATTTTTATTGTCCAATGTGTGTTCATTGACACTTCTGCCTAGAGGCTATTGTGCTTGTCCAGTGCAGAGGGGTAATGTTGACACGATGGCATGTGTTCAATTGGAGGATGAGTAAAGTTGCTTTCTGTTGCCCCAGAGCATTGGACCAGAACCAACAGGTTGAAATTAAATCCGAAGAGTTTTCGGTTAAACATTAGGAAGAACTTCCTGACAGGTTCCTCAATGGAACAGGCTTCCTCGGGAGGTGGTGGGCTCTCCTCCTTTGGAGGTTTTCAAACAGAGGCTTGATGGCCATCTGACAGCAATGCAGATTCTGTGAACTTAGGCAGATCACACAGAAGGGAGGGCAGGAAGGGTTGCCTCAGTGCTTAGTTCTCATGGCCCTTTGCTGCATACCCAGGGAAATGCTGATCGCCACTTTGGGGTCAGGAAGTAATTTTTCTCCAGGCCAGTTTGGCTGGAGATCCTGGAGGTTTGTTGCCATCTTCTGGGCATGGAGCAGGGGTCACTGAGGGTGTGGAGGGGGAGGTATTTGTGAATTTCCTGCATTGTGCAGGGGTTGGACTAGATGACCCTGGAGTTCCCTTCCAACTCTATGGTTCTATAATGACCCCAAGATAGTGGCGGTAGAAAGTGCTGTCAAATCGCAGCTGATTTACGGTGGCCCCTCAAGGAGTTTGCAAGGCAAGAGATGTCCAGAGGTGGTTTGCCGTTGCCTGCCTTTGCCCAGCAACTGTAGGCTTCCTTGGCAATCTCCCACCTAAGTCCTAACCAGGGCGGACCCTGCTTAGAGCTTCCGAGATCTGATGAGATTGGGCTAGCCTGGGCCATCCAGGTCGGGGCAATCTGAAGATGGCCAGGGTTTCATTCAAACGTGCCACCCCTTGTAATGTATTGAAGTTGTTATGTCAGCTTTAAAAGGTAAAGGTTCCTTTGCTCGAAAGCCAGTCGAGTCCGACTCTAGGGTTGCGGAGCTCATCTCCGTTTCCAAGCCGAAGAGCCAGCGCTGTCCGAAGACATTTCCGTGGTCATGTGGCCGGCATGACTAAACACCAAGGCGCACGGAACGCTGTTACCTTCTCACCGATGTGGTCCCTATTTATCTACTTGCAATTTCTTGCTTTCGAACTGCTAGATTGGAAGGAGCTGGAACTAGAGGGCACACCCGGGTCTCGAACTGCTGAACTACTGACCTTCCACAGCCTGCGGTTCACAGTTCAGCGTCTTAACCACTTGAGCCACCGCTTTAAGAGGCCCCATATCACTGGTGGTGGGCAGTGCCATCAAGCCCCGCAGCCGCCTTGTGGCAACCCCCTCTAGGGGTTCTGAAGGCAAGAGATGAACGGGGTGGTTTGCCGTTACCTGCCTCTGCATGGCGACCCCGGGACGTCCTCGGTGGTCTCACATCCGAGCACTCACCGGGGCTGACCCTGCTTAGCTTCTGAACCTGACGGAATGCAGCTAGCTTGGGCCATCCAAACAGTTGGCCAATTATATTAGGTCCTGTAATAATATTACCTGCGTATATGCGGGGACAAAGTTGGTAAATGGGTTTGCCAGCTGTGGATGGCTGCTCGATCCAGAGCTTTTTCAGGCACGATCCCCACCTGGTGGAATGGCCTCCCTGAGAATTTCAGGAAGTTCACTTTCAGAAGACATACAAATCTGTGCTGATTTAGATGTGCTTCCCCCCCTGAAATTTGATCTATTCTTGCTCAGGGTTGTTGTGCTGTAGTTAATATTGGACCTATGTTTGTGTTTAGTATGATTCTTATATTGTAATTTACCTCAAACTCTTGCTTAGAGAACGTAGGATTAAAAATGTTGCCAGAAGATACTTCGGACGTGTGTGCGTGTATGTGGGAAGATGTTGTGCAGAACGGTACAGAATATGTGGGGAGACGCTGCAGATTCTTTAATGGCTGTGAATGTGTCCTCAGTGAGAGCAAATTGTGAGATGGTCTCCCGGTAGCTTATTCAAGAGAGCTCACATGTGACCTAGAGAAGGTGTCGTCTCCTCTGGTTGAGGAGAGGAGGCCACTGTGTAGGACCACACGTGGAGAAGCAGAAGCATGGAAGAGACAGAAGACAGCATTATATTTTAAACTGGGGGCCTTGGATCAGTTCACCACCACCATTTGCCCCCACGAAAAGTGCCTCCACAGGGCACTTATTTTTCTCTGTGTCATCTGCGAACTTAGCCACTTCACTGCTTACTCCCAACTCCAAATAATTAATGCACAAGTTAAAAAGCACTGCACTGCCCTTACCGAGATAGCCCAGGCAAGCACAGTCTCGTAAACTGAGCAGGGCCAGCCCTGGCTAGTACTCGGAAAGGCAACCTTCAAGGAATACCAGGGTCATGACGCAGAGGCGAGGGCAAGCCACCTCTGGATGTCCCTTTGCCTTCAAGTGCCACTAGGCTGGCCAGAAGTCACTTGTAAAAGGTAAAGGTTCCCTTGCTCGAAAGCCAGTCGAATCCGACTCTAGGGTTGCGGTGCTCATCTCCGTTTCCAAGCCAAAGAGCCAGCGCTGTCCGAAGACGTTTCCGTGGTCATGTGGCCGGCATGACTAAACACCAAGGCGCACGGAACGCTGTTCCCTTCCCACTGAAGTGGTACCTATTTATCTACTGGCAATTTCTTGCTTTCGAACTGCTAGGTTGGCAGGAGCTGGAACTAGAGACGTCATGCGGCACACTTGGGTCTCGAACTGCTGAACTACTGACCTTCCACAGCCTGCAGTTCAGCATCTTAACCACTTGAGCTACCGCAGCTCTTGCAGAGTCCAGCGGTACCCCACTGCTTACCGCCTTCCACTGTGAAAACTGCCCATTTATTCTCCTGTTTCTAATCCAATTTATTCTCCTGTTTCTAATCCACAGGAGTCTCCTGTTTCTAATCCACAGGAGTACTTGCTCTGTTATCCCTTGATTGCTGTGTTTACTTAAGAGCCTTTGATGAGGAGCTTGATCATTGGCCGATGTAATTTATACATGTCTGTTGTACCTGAATAGCCTAGAACATGTTAGTTATGGAGTAGTTACAGCCCAATTCTCAGTGTTACCAGATTTTTTACCATTTCTTGAATTAGCGCCTGGCATATTCTGCAAATGCAGAGAAAAATTTGTTAAAGGAATGTTGAATTTACCATTTCTAAAAAAGCAAGAAGTTAGAGAATTGTCTTGAATTAGCGCCTGGCATATCCTGCAAATGCAGAGAAAGATTTGTTAAAGGAATGTTGAAGTTAACCCTTGTGTGCACAGAGATGTACTTGATGCAGACCATTATAAAAATCATGGTTGGCTTCTAAATACGGGTAGCAGGACTCAATTTTTAAATCTCTTAAGTAAGCCAGTTTGGTGTAGTGGTTAAGTGCGTGGACTCTAATCTGGGAGAACCGGGTTTGGTTCCCCACTCCTCCACTTGCAGCTGCTGGATGACCTTGAGCAAGCCATAGTTCATAAGAACATAAGAACATAAGAACATAAGAGATGCCAATGTTGGATCAGGCCAAAGGCCCATCCAGTCCAATCTGTTGTGGGGAGGGGAAGGGAAAGGAGTTTGTAAGCCACTCTGAGTGAAGGACGGGGTGTAAATCCAATCTCCTCCTCTTCTTCTAAATTATAGATAAATGAAAAAAGGCTGGTAATAATACACTAAGATTAATAAACAGCACTTCAAAAATGTAGAGTGTAGGGCACTGCTTCAGCTGTCTTCCCCTGGCTGCTTTACAAGAGAAGGCACCCAGATTTTTTCTTGCCATGCCGGACTTGTAAAGCAGCTCTAGTGGCCATTTAAAAAACTTCCCTCACATCGTCTTTATGCGCCTCTGTCCATTATCTTTGAGAATTCTTGGAGAACAGGTGAGGTGCCAGAAGATTAGAGGTGGGCAAATGTTGTTCCCATCTTCAAGAAGGGGAAAGAGGAGAGTTTTAGAACAAATAATCAAACTAAC